TTTCTAAGTCAGAAAATACAGACTGACGTCAACTCTTCTCACTGATGAGAGCACTAGACTTTAAAAAAAAATCTTTCAAGTGCTATGGTCTGAATGTTTGTGGCTCCCCAAATTCATATGTTAAAACTTAAATCCAAATCTAATAGTATTAAGAGGTGGGGCTTCAGAGAGAGTGATTAGGTTATGAGGACACCACCCTCAGACAGGACTAGTGCCACTATAAAGAGGCCCAAAGTAGTTTATTAGCCCCATTTGCTCTTCTGCCATGTGAGGACACCTCTAGAGGCACTGTCTATGAGGAATAGGCCCTCAACAAATATTAGATCTGCTGGGGCCTTTATCTTGGGGACTTTCCATCTTCTGGAACTATGAGAAGGAGATGTCTGTTGATTATAGCAGGCCAAATGGCCAAGGACAACAAGCAATTCTACAGTGAACAGACTTAATCTCTTGGGGCAGTCACACTTTAATGCCAACACCAATTTGCTTCCTGTCCTCCAGGGACCCAGCTTAGAAACCGGGTGCGCTGCTGGTTCTCCACATCTCTGCCTTTTCTGAGTCCCCAGATCTCTGCGTGCTCCTTTACCCCACCACCCCCTCCAGGAAACCAGCAATGAGTCTCCCTATAGAGGCCAAATCTCATAATTTTCCTGTGGGGTTGTTTGTCAGAATTCATCTCTCTTTAGATCTTCAACTCTGTAAACCAGATGACCAAACATAATTTCTCATATTAACCTTCTACAGTAAAGCTAATTTGACTATTGTCTTCCTCCAAAAAAGGAAGCTGGTTTGCATTAATTTAAAACCTGGGTGAATAATAAATGTTGTTTTTTCCCTGCCCTTAGGAGAACAGACATAATATGAAAATTAATTTTCTCCTGTTGGCCTTAGGAGCCCATTATGTCAGCCCCACTGCAAGACAGCTTTTCAGAGTCTTTCCCAGGAAGACTGCTGTTGCTCCAAAAGAAAACTGACAGCAGCAGATTTATTTATGATTAAATACTTAAAGGCCTGATGCAAACACAAAGAGTAACAACAGAATATAGAGGAACGAAGACTGTAAAAGAGCTCATGTTAAAATACTTGTTTATGAAACTCCCTGAAAAGCAGAAAGACTTCGGGAAAAAACCACTATCACCAAAACCGGGGAGTCGGAAGCATGAGGAGGAGGAGGAGGAAGAGGAAGCACCATGTGCAGAGAGGATGACTGCTCTTTTCAGACTAATCTGGGCCTGGAAAGCAACATTCAGGAACAAGAAAGCATTCGTCTGGCATTGAATCTGCTCTCCCAAGGCGTGGGTTCTATGCATTACTAATAAGGAAGCCATCACACACAGCAATATTTGGGAAAGTAGAAGATGTGTTTTCCACTTGTAATTCAGAATATTCTGTCCATGGTAGGGCTCTGCACCCACAGTAGCTAAACTTAGTGATCATAATTGAATCATTTAAGGTAGTCTATCAAGACTAGAACTAAAAAATACCCAAACCCCACCTGCCTTATAAAGCAGTGGGTTCCCTGACCTTGGGGTACACACCACCTGCATGATCAGCTACAAGGGTTGTTGCAAAAGATTCCTGTATTAATCTGGAGGCCTGCTTTTCAGAGTTATGTCCCTGGGCCAGCAGTACTGGCATTACTGGTGAGCTTGTTAGAAACTAAAGTACCTTAAAACTACCCTGACCTTGTGATAAGAATCATGGGTGGGTGTGGGGAGTGAGGCCCAGGAAGCTGTTTTAAGAAACCCTCCTCCCAAGTATGTTATGTTTGAGAACCATACACCAGACTGAAGAGCTTGGGTTCTCAAACACAGATCCCCTGAACCCTGCCCCAGAGTTCAATCCCCAGTAACAAAAAAAAAAAAAAATCAATTTATTTGATCCAGTAATCACCACCACTTCTATACTTACAGAAAAAAAAAATTACCTCTCCACACATAGATAATGCACATGGATTTACTGTCTTTAGGAAGAGTAAAAAACTGGAAATGAACATGTCCAAATAATAAAGAATTGTTTAAATGATTGTAACAATCTCTATGATAAAGAATGTCATACAGCAATTTAAAGCAGTTTTCTTAAAAAATGTTTAAGGATGTGAAAAAATGCTTACAATATATTAAGTAAAAAAGCAGAATGTTAATATAAATATCGTGTTCATATGGAAGAAAAGGTCCAGATGATACTAGTAGGATTATAGGTCAATAAAAAGTTAATTGTCCATTTCATATCTTTCTTGATTTTTTAAACTTCCTCTCATAAACACAAATTATTTTTATAATAAAATGATAATCTTATTATCTTGAGGCTCATAAGATAACACTCTAGAGGCCAGGACGTTATTGAATCTTTCAGGCCTAAGGCCATGAACATAAAAGAGAAGCTGGTACAAGTGGGATTTCATAGGAAGAGACAAATTTGCTCAGTTGGCATTGTTCACTATGAAGAACATTAGTCCTAGGTGATTACTTATGTGGAGAATTGAATAAAATTAAAAATTCACTTCCTTAGTTGAACTGGCCACATTATAAGTGCTTTATAGTCACAGGTGCTAAGGCATCCCCTCTGGGATGAGGCAGGTTATAGAATATTTCCTTCACTACAGAAAGTTTCACAGGACAGCACTGCTCTAAACATGCAGTCTCAGGACTTTTTTTATCCTTTGTGCTCCAGCCACAAGTGTGAGCTGGAGCCTCTTGAGGACAGAGACCATCTCTGTGTGGCTCTCCCAATCCAGCGGGGGAGATCCCTATACACAACCAACCTGGGAATGCAGACAGACAGGAAGGCACTTGGTGGACACAGCACAGAGCTGGGTCAGGGGTTCAGGGAAGACAGGAGGAGTAGGTGCTATCCAAATAGGGAAGGATACTTGTGCATGCAGGGTGGGGAGCATGAAAGTAGTAAAGGTACTGATGACAAACAGCCAGCACAAGGGGAAACCCCTAGCCCAACAGCATTTGCCAACACAGTAAAGGCGCAGTGGGCCAGGACTGAGCAGAGCCCAGGACAGCTATGGTCCCTGCCCTCACCACGCTTACAGTCTCATCAGAACTGTGGGAGCACGTCGGGTAGGAGAGGTATGCCAAAGACTGAGGATGGAGAAGGTTCCAATCAAGGCCCTTCCACCTATATTAAGGATCCTGTTTGGTTTGCTCTGTATCCTAGCAAGCGAACCCTGTTTTCTGCCTCAGTGGGGGCGGGAGGGCCCCATCCTTGGGCTTCTCTTGGTCCCCACTTGTTAGTCCCCACCCATGCCAACGCTATGGAGAGCGCCTCTGGGCGGCAGGCAGCACAGGGCAGGAGACTCAGTCTTAGGAAATCTCTCCAGAGGCTAGGTGGGCTGTGAATTTAATAAGTGTGAGAATAATAACAGAAATCTGGTTGGGGGGACACCGGAGTCCTCCAGGAGGAGATCGATTCTGAAAAAATACAGGAGACCTGAGTGACCTAGAAGCAGGAGAACCCACTCCAATTTACAGAAATGCTAGAGACAGGAGTCTAGCAAGGTGGAGGGAGGGGCACTAGCCGCTGCGGGGAGGGTGTGTCCGGAGGCCCTGTCG